TGTGTGTGGTATTAAACAATTGATATTTCAGGTTTGCCGAAGAGTTTAGTCAAGAAAGCACAAGAGTTACTTGGTTGTTTAACTAGCAATAGGAAAATGAATTTTGCTTAAGCCTGAGTGCACTGGATTGCTCTAAGTTGGAAGGCTCAGCTGAGTTGCAGTGCCCATGAGAAACAGGAAAAATTCATTGGTAAAGAAATGTAATGGAACAGATGGCAAGTGAAGCAGAAAGAATTCTGTCAAAGGGAGTGTTATGGAGTTGGCAGACTGGAGAACTGGAGATTCCAATGACAGCCATGAATCAGATTTCTAACAGCCTGGCACAGTCCAACTAACAGTCCAGCTCTGTTGTAAGCAGAATATGGATGTGTCATGTATGGGGCTGTGCAATTCTCCCTCAACCCTTGTTTTTTTAATTGAAATCAGTGTTTCTGGAGTTGTGAATGTGATTGTATATTCTTCAGTATTTCCTTAACTTCTTTTAAATTCTTGCAAGCCTGGATATCTTAGGAGTATTCCCAATTTTGGGTGTGCTTGCACCTCTTCAAAAAGTTTGGTCTTAACTGGATTGACAGCCTTGTGTGCAAACCTGCAGGGTACCCTGCATTAGGAATGAAGCTCCCAACCTGGATTGTCTGGTCTGTGCTGAGCTAATCAGGAAAATTGGTAACATAGTTAGCATTTTCCAGTATTTTAGATAAGAGTTATTTATTTCAGGGGTTTTTGGTATCTTGGGAAGTAAAAAGTTTCCTTGTGATGGCTGATTTTCAATTATGATAATGGATTGCTGGATGCTTTGGTCTGGAGAACATTTCAGTGCTTATGTGGAATTGTTTGAGATGTAGAAACTCACGACACTTCCTAGCAAAGCAAGAGCTGAACGCTTTGATCTGTTTCTATTCAGAGGGACGTGTTATTGCCTATATCAGTTACTGGGCAATAGTGTGGCACAGCTATGCAACGTTTTTCAGAGCATTCATATTCCTGTAAAGTGTAACAGCTTTAAATCTATGCAAGTCTGATGTTGCAGCTATAGTTGAATTCTCCCAGACTATTGTGCTCTGTCTCTAAATGAAGTTTAATCCATTGTTTTCCCCCCCCCCCGTCAGACTGAACCATCAGCCTCTGCAGCCCAATTCCCTGGTTGGAGGGGGACTGGACAGTGCCTCAGCTGCAGGGCCCCACGTGGCACTGGGCTCAGGACAGCTGCCACCGGAGCCAGGGAGACAGAGGCAGCAGCAGGGCCGGCAGCAGCGGCTCTTCCAGGTGAGGACTTGGCTGTGCTGAGGACAGGAACAGAGCAGTGCAGAGCAGGGGTGAGCATCAATCACTGTACCAGGTGAGGGTGTTACATGCTTGCTTGCACAGGTCTTCAAGTCTAAGCACCAGAACCTGGAGCTGTAAGCCCCAACTGCCTTTTCCTGAGAGCAGTCATTCGCTGTTTACTTTTGGGATGAACATCCATGTAAAACTCAGTACTTTGATTTTCCTGATTGTGGAATGCCTCTGGAGAAGGTCTGTTTGAGAATGGTCTGGCTGGATGCGCTGAGGCAGTGGTTGTGCTCTCCCTGTCTGGCCTTGCAGTGTTCCTGGAGTTAAACCAAAAGGCATCTTTCCTGTTGGGCCCATTTCCTATAGCCTAATTTGGTGATGTTTTTTAATTTGGAGCTAAGTATCAGTTTGTCAGCTCAATATGTAGGGCTTGGCACAGGGGAAGTAAATTACATTCAAAATCCTTCCCCTGGCCCTGTGGTTGGAATAGTCTCATGTTTTCATGTTAATGCAATAGCTGTCAGTGCCAGTTCTTGTCAGCTGCTAGTGTATTTTATCTAAATATTTTGATAATGTAGTAAGCTAAATATACCAGTGTATTGGTCTCTAACAATGCTCCTTGTCAGTCCTCATGTGGCTAGTGATGAGTGGGGAGCTGTGAGGTTCATGTCCTGCATGGGGCCATGAGTGACCCACGTGGTCAGCGAGTCCTGAGCCCTTGCTGGCCTCAGCCCTGGAACTCTGCAGTGCCTGGCTCTCAAGGCAGTGTGTGCCGTGCCTCTGTTGTGTCAGTGCCCGCTTTCTCTCAGGTACAGCAGCAGCAACCAGGCCAGCAGCCAACGCTTGGACTCCAGCCCGTGCAGCCACAGCAGCCACTGGTGAGCAGAGTGGCCATGGGGGTTTTGGGGAGGTGTGAGGGCAGGGACAGGGTGGGCAAAGAAGTGTTCCCTTGGCCATGGGAGGTGCTGATGGTTGGCATTGCTCCTGGTTCCTGTTTGCATTGTGTTTGTGAAACACACCGACTCCCTCTGATCCCTGGCAGCTCTGCCACAGCCAAACTCCAGCCCCTGCCATGTCACATCACAAGTGACTGTTCCTCAGCTGGGGCCTTTGATTTTTAGGCTGTACTGCTAACAGATGGGGAAAACTCGGGTTTATTGTTTGAACATCCTTTAAAATTAAATCATTAGTCATAAAGCAGAGCTGCATGAAGGTATCTGAACAAACTGAATTACTTTTGAGGCACAACTTTCTGCTAGATTGGAGCCTTTGATAGTTTAGGGAATGATTTTACCCAATCATTGTCACTACCAAGTCACTTTTTCTGGACACATCCACTGGATTTACAATCTCATTATGCTTGTTTCCTTTGTTTCCACACTTTTTCCAAACATATCTAAGGTAGGTGAGGATAACTAGGAAAAGTTTGCTATAGAGAAGTGTAGAGAAGGTACAGTAATGCTGAAAGTGCAGCTTCTGAGTTTAAAAGCATTAATCTTAAAAAATTTATATCCATTTTCTGAGTTTTTCCTATTAGTTTTTGTATCTTGAACAAACTGATGGGAGAGTGTCACAGCAAGAGCTTTTGCAGGATCCTCTGACAGCACCTGCACAGTAGAAGGTGCTGTGGGTTGGGTTTGTGTCCCCAGAAAACCCTGGTGTGGTGGTTAATACCTTTGACTAACCTCAGCAGTTACTACAGCCTGGTAGCCAGGAGATTGCACAACATATTTTAAGTGAAGGATTTGGTTTCAGAAAGGGAAAAGATGCTGAAGTCTTGTAAAATGCTGAAACTGCCTTCAGTAAGCACAAGGTTTCGCTGAGCAAAGCTCGGGCGGTTTCTGTAGCGCCCACGGAGTTAATAGGGTACAGGATTACTTCAGTTTTATTCAGCACATCAGGTTTGCATACTGCATCATGTGCAGAGAAATCACTTAAGTAGAAGTATTAGAAGCATGTGCATTTTCACCAGATCTAATAAGAGAAAATGTGAGGGTTTAGGAAGCAGGTCTGGAGGGCTGAGAGGCCTGAGGGTATGTCAGAGATGTATGGTAGAGGCTATGTTTGAGAGTGCTGAACCCATAGTGCTTAATGCCATGTGTGGTTGTAGTGAAGCCTTCCTGAAGTCTTCTCTTCTCTGTGCTGAACACCTGTAGTGTGAGATTTCAGGAAAGGAAGAGAACAAATGTCCTGAGAGCTGTCAGGGTGCTCCCTGTGTCCTTGCTGTGCTGTTAAACCCCGGTCAGGACTCTTGCCTGCCCTCGCTGCCCTCCCCACCTCCTTGCCACTGTGCTGGGGTGGCACCAGCTAGGCACCCTGTGGTTACCTGCCATGGCATGGACACTGTGGTTTCTTTCACCTTTCCCATTGCAGTTCCCAAGGCCAGGCTTGCAGCAGACCCAGCAGCAGCAGCAGACAGCGGCGCTGGTCAGGCAGCTCCAGAAGCAGCTCTCCAGTAAGTGTGTGCATAGATGTATTTGAACATGGAATTATCTTTCTGGAGACCATCTGCCTGTTTCCCTGGAAGTCATTCACCTACTGACAGCTGGTTGCCTATCCCATTCCAGACATAACACCAAAGCCCTGGTGCTGGGGCACCTGTGGGGGCCCTACTGGTCCCTATAGCAGCCCTGGTCACCTACAGGGCTGCTGCTGGGGCTCACTCACCTCCTCCAGTCCTCCACAGGCAAAGTCCTCAGGGCAGTGAGTGCCTCTGGCCTCGGGTGGATGAGGGATGTGCTGACCGTTGTTTGCCACTGTTGCACCAAATACAGGTATTGTTCTGAGGCACAAACATCCCCTTTGCTTTCTCTACCAGGTAATCAGCCACAGCAAGGGGTGAGCCAGTATGGGCACCCCCCACACTTCTGACCACAGCTGGAGGGGACACAGGGGACTTTTGCACTGAGGAACAGGACACTCAAATTCAATGCACTAGTCATTGCTAGACAGTAGACATGAGTTCTCTTCTTATTTCCATCGTTATTTTTCGTGCTGCAGTTGATGTGAATATGTAACAAGGTGGGGTTTGGGTTTGGGGGTATTTTTGTGTTTCACTGGGTTTCAATGTATGGACTTGTGGGCCTATTTGAAGAATGCCATTGCAGGTTTTAAGAATTTGGTGCTTTTTAGGTCCTGTTACTTTTAAAGAGGACAAAGGATGCTGGATTTATTTATTTGTGGGAACACTTTTTTAATTTTTTTTTTAAATTTAAAAGAACTGCACTGGACCAAACTACTCAGCTGAAAGGCACTTCTGGTTTCGGCATAAAAGTTAATTTGTTCATTCAAATCTTCACCTTTTTGTTGGTAGAACAAGCATTGATTAAAGTCATGTGTATTTGACTGTGATTTTCATATGCACTTTATAAAGTTCTTTGTTTAAAAGTACCAATTCCTCTTGCTCTTATTGTGGTAAGAAGGTGCTGAAATGGGTTTATTGCTTGTATTAGAACTTCTTAAAGTTTATATTAAAAGCCACAATATAACATTAATAAACCTACTAGAAGTAGTAGTGGTTCCTCTCTGGTGTCTTTCATCCGAAGGGCGTGTGTGGTGACAGGGACTGAGCACTCCAGGTGGACTTTGCTCCACTTGGGTAGGGAGTCTCCAAGTCCTGGTGAAGCCTGGGAAGAGATGAACCCTTGATGCCATCAGTGACAGATCTCATCCCAGCTTTCACAGCATGAAGGTGGAAGAGCCCCTGAGTCCTTCCCATGGTTTCAGCTATCCTGGAGCTGACAGCCCTTTGGATGATGTTGATGGAGTTATTCCTGTTACCTCTGTCAGGTACCAGTGGGGCATGGCAGGTATTCCTGATTCTGGGAGGAAGTTGTGGCTGGCATGAGGCATTACCTCATCAGCTGAGTGCAAAACCACAGGCAAATTATCAATTGAAATTACCACACATGAATCATTATTCAAACCTGTGCAAACAGATCATAATTTTGCTTGTATTAGAGTTGATAAAAGAGAATAAATTTATTACTGGTTTATGTCACTTAGGAGTTAGTCTATCTGATAATTCATTGATTTTGGAAGTGGAACTTGAAGAGCATTTTAAATACTCTGGGAACATTTTTTCCCAAAGTTTTTTACTAACTCTTTTTGCTTAATTGAGCATACAAAGGGTTTGTAGATGGTGACGTAGTCAGGTGCTGTGTGGGGAGGGGGAAGGCTGCAGTGCCCACACTTTGGAGGGCCTCGGGCAGCAGAGGCAGCTACTGATGCATAATATATCTATGTATCTATTTCAAGGTATATTATACATCATATATATGTAATATACTAATAACTCACTGCACAGAAATCTCTAGAAAAGTAGATTTTGATTGGGTTTTACAACAGTCAGGTGAGTGACTCATGTACAAGTTATTTTTGTTTATGTTTTTAAGGAGATTTACTGTTCCTTGTAGTGCTAAAGCTATTTCAGAAATTAACCAATGAGATTCATGTCATCTAACCACTGTGTGGCCACCATTCCATCTGTGCTGTGGAAGGTGGGAACAAGGAAACACAGACTATGTGTAGCTGATATCAGGGATGGATTCACTGAATCCTTTGTACATTCACCACACACAGGTCCTGAATTTGCCTGTTTAAGGAGAAAGGCTACACTGTGTGTATTCTGAGCCCTCTGTGCTGTGTTAACCTCTTTCTTAGGAAGAAAATAAGAAACTCTGAACTTTAGTTGCAGACTTAAATCCTGTAAAAATTGATTTGAGCAGTCCAGTCCGAGACTGATCAGTGTGAAATGGGCAGGTAACCATTTCCTTCCATCACAAAGGCATTTTCCACTCACATACATAAGGTTCCTTCTTAGACCTGACTGCTGAATTGAGAGATTAGAATTCTAAACTGAGACACAAACTGATGCAGTTCTTTTCTAGTGAGAAACCTTTATAAATTGCTTTTGTGGCAATAGGAAAATGATGCTAGGCTGGAGTGGTTCTACACCCAGTCTGTATTCATTGGCTTAACAGTGCTGAGCAGAGCTCCCTCCCTTGTTCCAAACAGAGCTCAAAGCTGTTCTGTGTCATCCCACAGATCTGCAGAAAAGACTGTGGGAGACAGAGCTGTAGTATCAAAAATATTTCACTACCTATTTCACCATTGAATATTTATTAAAAAACCATACTAAATATAAAAACACATCCAGAAGGTAATCTGCAACCCAATAAACCTGCTCTTTGATTCCCAGGTGCTCTTGCTCTCTGTGATCCATGCTCATGACAGTCATACGAGGTGGGCAATATTGAACTGATACAAAAACATCTGTCTGTATAGAAACCCTCTGGGTGCATTTCCAGAAAGTAATTGCGTCTGATAGTCAATGCTTGCTGGCAGAGCAGAAATGCCTTAAGTTTACTTTAATTTAAGTCCTTTAAACATGGAGACAGCCAATGCTTGCTGATAATGCTGGAGCTGATTTTCCCCTTCCTCTCTCCTATTGCCCAGTCATTGCAGAATGAATGCTGTGAATGTGTTCAGGCACTCACATGCCTCTGGCTGCCTTTGATTAAACTCATTCCAAAGATGACCTCAGTTCAGCTACAGCCTGTGTTAGCCATCATTCCTG